GAATAAGTGCTTGCCTGGCAAGCTCAGGGTCCTGAGAGTTCAATCCCCGGTAATAATAATTGCAACTCATAATCTTCTCAAGTAGTTTAGGTTACAAATGTATGCCACTATACCTGGCATTGTTTTTAAACAGAGAACTCAGCAGAGGTATGGTGTGATATTCTATCATTGCCATAAAGAAAAATCCATAGCGAGCTTTATTATTGATGTGTATTTTATTTTATTTTTTAGGCAGAACCGGGGAATGAACTCAGGCCTTTGCACTTGCCAGGCAAGTGCTTATTCTATTAAGCCATTTCCCCAGCTTGATGTGTATTTTAAAGCCTAGGCCATAAGTTTCCTGAAAACACAAACAAGATGGGTTGGGAAGATAGCTCAGTGGCATAGGGCTTGTCTGGAAAGCACAAGGTTCTGAGTTCAATCCCTAGTTTTTTGTTTTTTTTTTTTTTTTAAAAAAAGGAAAACACAGAGTATAGTTTTATTCATGTTTCAATAGCCTGCATACTACTTTGCGCAGATAACTGACGAATTAACTTTAAATTAGGGGGGAAAATGCTAGAATGCAAGCAAACCATAGCATATAAGAACAAGACTTCTAAAACCAGCCATACCCATCAATTCTTCTAATTCCACTAATCTCCACTAAGAAATGCTCAATCTTTTCTTCTTTGGCTCATGTACTAATGGAGCACATCCCTCAATAAAATTGTATTGTCAATGTTTGTCTGAGATCAAATTACCTCATGCAATACTAAAACCTTTTGTTCGTTTATTAAAACTATTCTGTACTAGATTAAGTGATTTCATTATCCTTTGAATATAACTAATCCATTTCTAGGGTTGGCATTTTATCAGAAAAGAATGAGTTTTTTCATTCAAAATGAAGCTTTCCCATTTAACCTTTCAAGGCTTCTTGATTGTATTATCAGGTCTATTCAGAACAAGAAAACAATGATATGACAGACAATTTACAGGGACTGAATCCAGGGCTTCTGCATTGAGCTACATCCACAGTCCTTTTTGTATTTTGAGGTGGGGTCTTGCTAATTTCCCCAGGCTGAGCTTGACCTTATGACCCTCCTGGCTCACCGACCTGAGTACTGAGATTATAGGCATGTGCCACCACTTCAAGTTCTCATCATACAAAATTTAAAATGAAACAAAACTTAATTGAAAATACAGATTACTTTTTCTCCTACCTGGTTGGCTGCTCTCATATAATCAATCTTATATTGTGTCCCTAATGAAACAGCTAAAGAATTAAAAGTGGTTGACTCAGGAAAGCAATTTCAAGAAGGTAAGGGGACAGGGCAGTGGATTATCAATTTTCATTATAATTATTTCATAATTTATTTGCCTTAATTCCACATTTGAAGCATAACTGTGTGTAAACCAAGGTAGTAGTTATAAGAAAAAAAAAAGAAAGGAAGACTCAACCCTTATAACCATAGCTGTAAAGGTTGCTTATATAATGCCATGGACTCATGATGAATCTCTGGGACAATCATTTACCTACATGGGATTTCAGTCCCACATTTGTTAACCTGATAGTAATTCAGAACATCAAGGCCCTTTCGACACTAATATTCTAGTATTCTAAAACTTCATGATTAATAAACGGCAGTGCACAATTTAAAGAAGAAAAATGTATCTGTTAGATAAAAGGCAAACTCACAAGGCTTGTTTTGTAATGGATGGTTAATGAAATTACAGTGATCACAGTAATTTTAGGATGACTCTTAAAAGAATTATTGAAAGAAGATAGGGGTATTAGGGAATCTATCTCTGTTGATTAGACAGCTTCTTCGACATAAAGCATGCATGATCCAAATATTAATGATACATCTGGAGCCTGTGGGAGCACTGTGTGCTAAGTGTCACGTAACAGCCCCTGCTCGACTTAGCCAGTCAAATGTCACAACCTGCCTTTTCCTGCAGACTGTGCACAGGAAGAGACCAGGGCCTGAACCCAAACTTACTGACAGTAAAGGGTAAGTATGTACAACCACACAGCTAAATAGGAAAAAGAATCTGGCACTTATTATATGCCTCCTGAGAGCTCTTGTAAGAGCTCTAGCAGATCTTTCAGTTTAAAAGATTATGCATTTCAGATTATTTTAACTTAAAGGTCTTTGAATTTTAAAACCCAGTATATCTACTTTTAAAGGACAAGAGCAGATACTTGTTTCACAGAAAACAAAAGTGAACCTCCTTTCAAAAAAGCCAGACATATACATTGTAAACAGAAATGGGGGCAACTGGGCTTGTAAGAAAGACTGTCCAGGATACAAAAAGGGTTTTATTTTTGTATAATTAACCATTTTGTTTATATTTCTTCTGCATTGTAAGCACCAAGTAAATGAAAGAAACTTAAAACTTATTAATTGAAATAACTGATTTATGTGTACTCTTCAACATAACACAATATGTAAATATCCTAAAATCACAGAACCAGAGAATTTAAATAAGATGGAATCAAGGGATATTAGATCATTGATTTTATGCTTAAGTTATCTCCCTTTAACCAACTTGAGTCATGGCAACAGTGGAAAAGATTATGCATAAAACAGATGTGGAGGGCTTACATTTATAATTTCAGCTACTGGAGAGGCTGAAGCAGAAAGATTAACGGTTTGGGGCCAGCCTGAGGAATGCATCAGGATCCTGTCTCCAAATGAAAGAATAAAAGAAATAATAAAAAAAAGAAAAAGAGCTAAGGATATAGATTCATAATAAAATGTCTCTAGGATTAACCCTCTAGGACTACAAAAATCAACAAATCAGTCAATAAAATTAAAAATACTCAATTTAAGTAGAATTCTATGAAAATTTAAGGCTAAGGGGATGGGGAGATGGCTAGGTGGAATAAGCGCTTGCCTAGCAAGTGCAGGGGCTTGAGTTCAATCCCCAGTTCCGCAAAAAAAAAAAAAAAAAAAAAAAAGAAGAAGAAAGAAAATTTAAGGTTAAGAAGACACCTAATAATGGGAGAAAAAAGGTAATGTATTAAAACTAGTACCTGGTAAAAACTATGCCTGTCTTGGTTTCTACTCCATTTTACAAAGGAAGGAAAAAGGCTAAGTAATTTGCCTACAGTCACAGTAATAAGGAGAGTTAACATTGAACCCTATATAACATTGAACTTCAAGGTCTTTTTTTCTCCCCATTTCTGAGGGACTGAACCCAAAGGTACTCTACCACTGAGCTACATGCCCACCTTTGTTTTTGGTATTGGGGATTAAATATGCATCAAGGTCAGCCTAGGTTACACAGTAAGTTCACGGCCAGCCTGAACTATATAGCAAGGCCCAGTCTCAATAAAAAAACAAACTGCCCAGGTTGGCTTCAAACTTGTCATTCTCTTGCCTCAGCCTTCTAGACTGCTGAAATCATCGTCATGTGCCTTGATACCTGGGAATAGTTCAAGGTCTCCCCCCCCCCCCCGCCCCTGATATCTGGTCTTGCTACATACAATACAGGATGGGCTCAGATTCATGGCAATTCTCTTTCTGCCTTGGTCTCCCAAGTGCTAGGGTTACAGGTGTACGCTACCACACCTGGCACCTTTCTTTTGTTTCTGTTTTTTTTTTTTTTTTGCAGAACCGGGATTTGAACTCAGATCCTTGCATTTGCCAGGCAAGTGTTTATTCCACTGAGCCATCTCCCCAGCCCTTCTTTTGTTTCTGAAGACAGAATCTTGTCATGTAGTTCAGGCTGGCCTCAAACTGCTGGTGATCCTTCTGAGTGCTGGAATGCCACCATGCCTGACTTATTTCTTTTAGTGTCTAGCAAAATTTTACTGCCATAAATGTTGGTATGCTGTGTTTTCACTTTTGCTTTCTTCAAAGTATTTTTAATTTCTCTTGCTACCTAATCTTTGACTCATTTGTTACTCAGAAGTAAATGGTTGAATTTCCACATATTTGTGAATTTTCCAAGTTTCCTTCTGTCATTACTCTCTAATTTCCTTTGTGATCAGAGAAAATTGAAAGAAATCTGTAAAATTTCAGTCTTTTAAAATTTGTGTTAGTTTTGGGCCAGCCTGATAGCTCAGCAGACTAAAGCTCCTGCTTAGGCAGAGCAAAGCAGCTGGGTATGAACTCAAGAGACAGAACTGCTAGATTACATGGTAATTCTGTATTTTTCTAGGAATTTTCATATTTCTTACGCTGCTCTTATACTACTTCACTGTCTCTTGTGGAGAGTTACCCGCATATGTGCTAGTAGCTCCTTTTTGCTAGTTTGTTGAATGGAGGCTATCGTACTAAGACCAAGAACAGAGAATTCTAGTTGCTTTCTTGTGTTTTACTGCTACATATTTATATCAAAGCATGAAGACCAGCTACAAGCTGTGAAGTGTCTGTAACTAAAATCCTATGTGAGGATACTGGGAATCTAAATTATATGTTTTAGCATTATAATGGACACAGTTTTCATTTGGTGTGAAATTACTGCTCCTTCTCCAAAGCAGTATGTAACATCATTTAAAATAAAACTTGAATAAAATATCAAAAGAGACAGGAGAGGAAATGGTAGGAAGTTACAACAGTCCAGATATGAAATGACAAGTGAAAAAATACAATGAGAGGGCCGGGGGGATAGCTCAGTAGAATAAGTGCTTGCCTGGCAAGCAGAGGTCTCTGAGTTCAATCCCTGGCACCGCAAAAAACAAAACAAAAAACCACAATGAGAATAAAAAAGCTATCAAAAACAACAAAAATGTGAATGCATCTATAATTAAGCTATTAATTTTAAGTGAAATAAATACATTTTCACCTTTACTCCAAATGATACCTCAACAAAAGCATTCAATCTTAAGAAAGTACTGTAAGAGCTGAATAAAAAATATTGGAAAAACTGGCTACCCTGGAAAATTTGACTTTGAGAATGTTCCTGAAATTTGGAATAAGGGTCATTTTGAGTACAAGATATGATGTGAGTTATGGTACGCTAGCAGGTAGTGTATCAACTGCTTATTGAGAACACATGAGCCATATGATTACCTGATAGCCTTCTGTTTTTTTCTGGCACCACTTCAATAAGGCATTCCTCTTCGATCCTCCATATTCTCTTGCCAATGCTGAGAGGGGGTCTTTCCTTTCTTCCCTGATAAATGAAAACAAGAAGCTCAAAGATAAAATATTTTGTATTTAAGCACCAAAGTAAGAATATAGCAGTAGTTATACTGTTTTGAATAGGATAAACGCCATTTACTGGCAAGATATCTTTTCCTCAATTGATTTTTCTCTATTTTTAGCTTATGGTCCCACAGACCTGCAGCTGTCAGGAGCCCCTGACATCTGAAGGGAGATACTACTCATTATACACATGGAAAGAGGAAATACTTAGTATCAAGTGCATTAAAAATTAAGAGTACGCATTCCAGGGTGCTAGAATGTGCGAGACAACCTGATACTGGCACCATCTGAAATCATCCTGGCTATCTTTCGTTCAGCATTTTACCCTTCCATTATCTTTATACTTTGGTTTACTTTACTCCTTTCTATTTCCTTAATTACCTCCTAAGTTTTGGGACTGCTTACTATAAACGCAAAGGGCAAGATTATGCTAGGTGAAGGATTCTAAGATAAAACTCCTACCTCCATGGGGCTCAAAACTGGGGGAAATAGACTAAAACATACAGAAGATAGCAACAAACATTAAAAGCACTTGTCACTTCTATAAAACATTTCAAGTGTGTTTACCACTCTTATGCATAAGTTTTTCTGTTTGTTTCTTTTTGACATAGGGTCTTGCTATGTTGCCTAGGTTGGTTCTAAAAACTCCTGGGCTCAAGTGATTTTCCTGCCTCAGTCTCAAGTGCTGGGGCTATAGGTACATGTCACAGTGCCTGGGAAGTTGTATACTCTTTATTGTCTGTATGTAGGGAGGTAAGAGTTTTATCTTAATAGCAAATGGAAATTTCTGTAGATTCACTGACTCACATCCAATGTCATATTGTGTGGAGTAGCACTATGTTAGTAAATGTGCAAGTGCTGGACAATTAGTAGTAAACACAGCATCCCTGCCCCTCAAGAAACTTCAGGATTTATGATATGACGACACACTACTGAAGCTTGGGTAAAAAGAGTTGAACAATTGGGCTGGGGGTGCAGCTGGGAGATTGCTTCAGTGGGAGAGTGCTTGCCCAGCACAAGTAAGGCCCTTCGTCTGATCCCCAGCACCACCAATAACTGAATGAATGTATTTCATTGCAAAAATTCTATATAATGTATTTTATGGCATGATTAATTGTAGACAGAATAAACATCTTGTCCCAGAACAGTGAAATAACAAAAATTGTGCATCATCTTTGGAGATGAGGCAGAGAGAACATATGACTCTATTCATTCTGCATCAAATCCTTCCTTTCAATAGCTACTCTGTAAGAAGAACCCTAAGGAATACCTGGAGAAAGACACTACTTTGTAAAACATTCCTTGTTAAGTAGCCTGTTCTTTAAAAGTTGGTCTATTTTTCAGTGAACATAAAGAAAAACTAAAACTCTAGCCACATATTCTACAAACTCAGCAAAGCAATAAATATTCCAGAGGTAATAATTTTAGTACTTCTGAATATATTGTCAGTATTAATCTCTTAAAGCATGCTATGAAATCAAAGAGGAAGCATTTAGAACTGAAGCTCTTTTTTTTTTTATTTTATGTATTTAGTACAGGGTCTATAAGGTCTCACTACATAGATCAGACTATAGTGATCCACCTGTATTCAGCCTCAAGAGCTGGGATTACAGGTGCACACCACCACACCCAGTCTCCACTGCAGTCTCAGCGCACCCCAGGGGCGGGGCTGGCAAGGGTCAAACCCACGGCCGCTGCACTTTGCCTAAGTAAGCACGTTAGTCCACTGAGCTATTTGGCCAGCTGAAGCTCTTTTGATGGAGAGATGTACTGGAATAGTACATATTTTAATTTTAGAACCAAAACCAAAATACTAAACATTTTTTTCAATATGTAGTGAGACTGGGCTGGTGAGATGGCTCAGTGGTCTAAAGCACCTACTTAGAACAAGCTTAGCAAAGCACAGGGACCACGGTTCAATCCCCCAGCACCACAT